ATATATATACATATATATACATACATATATATATATATATATATATATATATATATATATATATATATATATATATATATATATATATATATATATATATATATATATATATTGTGACGATAATCTCCTTCAAGAGATTGAGCCTGCTCTTCCCTCCAAAATACGTCGATATATAAATCTATATAAAACTAGTATGGAAGAAATATCCAACAACGACAACAACACCAAGTTTTGCCAGAAGCGCAAAACGTATGCAGCCAGGAACACCTGCTCCACCTCGAACCACCAAACTACCTGTCTTGTCGCCTGCTCATCGCTGATTGGCTGCGGGTCCAGTTGCAACTGCACTCCACCCACCACACTACTTGATGTCTGGGGCCACACGACCACCAGATCTCAGAATATCCAGTGCTTTCATCAGGTTAACATGTCTCGTTGGTAGACTAAGCCGTGGCTTACGTGTACTAAGAGAGGTGATAGCTTAAAGCCAATATTCCTGCACCTCTTATTTGATTGTATATTGTTCACTTGTTATTACTCACTTGTCTTAACGTAACTTTTCATTTTGTCATTTGATTATTCTTATTATTTTGATTGATTGATTTTGTTCCAATTTGTATGTCCATTTTATTCATGTTTTGCTTTTCCAACGTAATTAAAATTTCATTGTTAAATTTACTTGTGTTTTGTGAGTCCGGATTTCTTGGCGTTCACAGTTTCGATCAGTTTGTTGACCTTTGCTAGCCGACAGAGTGTATCGTGATCCAGCATGTACTCCTCTTGACATACCAGAAAATATTCTGAGGAAACTACTCCAAGCTTGTACTAAAGAGGCACCCTTCTTGAGCCCGGATCGGCACATGTATAAGCAAGTAGATGGGGTCGCCATGGGTTCTCCCCTAGGTGTCCTGTTTGCAAACTTCTATATGGGTACCATCGAGCAAAAAGTCTTAGTCGACATGAACTTGAAACCGGCCATATATTGCAGGTATGTTGACGACATTTTTACACAGGTACCTGATGTCAGACATCTGCAGGAGCTGAAAGAGGCATTTGAGCAGAGTTCTGTGCTGCGTTTCACTTACGAGATGGAAAAGGATGGGAAGCTGCCCTTTCTAGATGTAACAGTCATGGAAAAGGGCGGAGGTTTCCACACTGCAGTCTACACTAAGGAAACAAACATAGGAATGTGCCTAAATGCCAACAGCGACTGCCCAGACAGGTACAAGAGGAGTGTTGTTAACGCATATGTCGACCGTGCTCTCAGCCACAGCTCAGAATGGAAGCAAGTCGACGAAGAACTCTGTAGGGTAAGGCAGGTCCTAGTCAATAACGGCTTCTCCAATGGTTTCGTCGAAGACATCATAAGAAGGAAAGTGAAAAGCCATGCAACCTCTGAAGAGACAACTAACACAACACCTATACCCCCCTATTAGACTATTTTACAGGAACTTCTTTTCCACAGCTCATAAAACGGAGGAAAGGGTCCTGAAAGATATTGTTAATAGAAACGTTATCCCTACAGACAAAAATCAGAGGATACAACTGACGATTTACTATAAAACAAGAAAAACGGCCAGCCTACTCATGAGAAACTCTCCAGACACAAAACAGAACGCTTTAAAAGAGACTAACGTCGTCTATGCCTTCAAATGCCCTCTTGGGGACTGTAAGCTCCAAAAAACCCAGTATATAGGCAAGACAACAACATCTCTTTCTAGGCGTTTAACGATACATAAGCAACAGGGCTCCATTAAGGAACATATAATCTCTTCCCACAACCAAACCATCGCCAGAGAAATCCTAGTAAACAACACAGAAATCATCGATAGATACAGCGATAGCAGGCGGCTTGACGTTTGCGAAGCACTACACATCAAGAAGTCAACACCAGCAATCAACAGCCAATTATTGCACAACTATATTCTACCCACCTCAAGACTCCGCTCCAATATAGAAGCATCAAGAAATATGGACCAATAGGCTTTCTACAAACACTTCTATTCAATATCCATTGTTTCGTGTTCTGTCTTGTGTTGATGAAATTAATACCCTATTAATACTCTTGTTCTGTCTTGTGTTGATGAAATTAATACCCTATTAATACCACATCTTGTTCTGTCTTGTGTTAATGCCACATCACCCCTTCCACCTCACTCAAATGTAGATATAAAATCGGAGATGCGTAAGTTCTATTCAGTTGTGTATTTGTGAACTAAAGTCTTTGAAAATGTAATAAGTTTTACGAAACGCGCTCGTGTCGCGTCAGACTAGAAATAAAAATGAATTTTGGAGAATTGATTTTTGATTTACCTCCAACAGTGAAACGAAATGTACGAAAGATTGAGAAAATTCGTGTTAGAATTATTAATCTTACTTTTTCGGTCATATTTAATAATATATATATATATATATATATATATATATATATATATATATATATATATATATATATATATATATATATATATATATATATATATATATATATATAAACGTGTCTTAACATTAAGGCACTCTATTTTAATGAAACAAGTGTGTGTCTTGCCATAAACTGAGAGTGGAGCGTGAACAGTGCCTGAAGCCAGAAGCTGATGGAGTCAACCCACCATTCCAACAACAGTAGTGAACAACACTACAAGCTATGGCTCTACAAGAGGGCTAAAATCTTAGTAACATAAAATAAGAGCTCCGTGCCTGCATCTCAACTAAAATAAATGGAGGTTCGTGGTAGTAACTAGTAATTGGATCCAATTCTTTGTACCACTAACACCATTATATTGCAGGTGCGGTTATCATCATGAGCTTACAAGCTCACCTCAGTAAGTGAATTACTTAAAACTAAATTAAGGTATAAATTTGCAAAAGATAAATTCATATCATTACATAATCTTGTCATTGTTTATAATAATTCATATGTGGCAAGATGCCAGATCAAAAAGATAGGCTAAAATAATTAGTAACCTTATCAATGCTAGATGCATTAATACATATTCTTTTTACCAAGTGGTATGTATAGATTTTTTCATTCAACAGGTTAGCGAAAGCAGCTCCATTTCTGTTGGATAACTCTGAAAACTGAGCCAATTAGGGAACACAGAATAAATACAGTCCACTGCCCCAAGAAGAAACAACAGTTTCCTGGTGGCTTAGTTAGTACCTTATTTTAAAGAGTGAAAAGGCAAAAGAAAATCCACAAACTCACTTGTTCAGAAATAAGTAAGTTTGGTGAACATTGAATTTAGCCGGGGGACATGAGCCAGAGCTCAGTAGCTATCTTATTTGTTCTTAATGCATCTGAAATAACTAATTTTTTTTTAATCTTGGGCAAATTGAACCGTTAATAAGAAAAATACAGAAGCGAACTAAGGCGGAGGACATTAGCTGAAACTCAGTAACTACCTTGTTCTATTTTTGCTACATCTGAAATAAGGCAGTTTTAAATTTCAGGACAGTTGGGTTAACAGTAACAAAACTACAGGAGTTAATTAAGGCGGAGGACAAGAGCCGAAACTCAGCAACTATGTTTTCTTTTCTTACTAAGTCTGAAAAACACCACCTGTTTTAAATTTGGGGGAATTGAACTATTAATAGCTGTAATCACTAACTAAGATGGAGGACAGGAATTGAAACTCTGTAACTCTACTTTCGTTTCTTGCTACGTCTGAAATTTGACTGTTTCAAATTCCGCGAAAATTGGACTGTTAGTAGCGAAACTTCACCTATAAACATAGAGAGTTGGGTTCAAGAACTAACATCTAACAGTGACACATACATCACCTACCTTTAGTTAACATATAGTCTGAAAATGGACAATCTCTCACTTTAATTTACCCTAAAACAGACGGTACAGTAGAGATGATATTTCCTCCATAAGAACTCCTTAAGACCGCAGTGACAGATTTTTCTAGGTCCGACCCTCCACAAAAAAAGGGTACCGCATAACGACCACTTTTTCCAAAACAAAAATTAATAATCCCTTTTACTCATGAGTATGTTCCACGAGATAATTACGTTATATTTATAACAAAATTATATTTGGAGGCCTTAATAGCAGCAACTCTGATTAGAAATAGCAGTTGATCAAGGCCATGCGTTTCAAATTCTTGGTCAAGCTTAACATTCTTCTGACCTGGAAGTCTTAAAGCAGGATGAGATTTCTTATGTATGAAAATATTGCTTTAGTTTGAAAAGTTATCAGTTCTGTAAGTCTTGCGAGAGTCCGAGATATCTCACGACTGGAAATCTTACACCAGTCTGAAGTCTGTAAAGACTGGGAATCTTGTTCTAGTATGAAGTTTCTCACTACTGGGAATCTTGCACCAGTCTGAAGTCACTCACTACTGGGAATCTTGCACTAATCTGAAGTCTTTCACGACTGGGAGTCTTGCCTCAGTCTGAAGTCTCTCACGACTGGGAATCTTGCACCAGTCTGAAGTCTCTCACGACTGGGAACCTTGCCTCAGTCTGAAGTCTCTCACGACTAGGAACCTTGCCTCAGTCTGAAGTCTGAAGTGTCTCATGACTAGGAACCTTGCCTCAGTCTGAAGTCTCTCAAGACTGGGAACCTTGCCTCAGTCTGAAGTCTCTCACGACTGGGAACCTTGCCTCAGTCTGAAGTCTCTCAAGACTGGGAACCTTGCCTCAGTCTGAAGTCTCTCAAGACTGGGAACCTTGCCTCAGTCTGAAGTCTCTTACGACTGGGAACCTTGCCTCAGTCTGAAGTCTCTCAAGACTGGGAACCTTGCCTCAGTCTGAAGTCGCTCAAGACTGGGAACCTTGCCTCAGTCTGAAGTCTCTCACGACTGGAAACCTTGCCTCAGTCTGAAGTCTCTCACGACTGGAAACCTTGCCTCAGTCTGAAGTCTCTCACGACTGGGAACCTTGCCTCAGTCTGAAGTCTCTCACGACTGGAAACCTTGCCTCAGTCTGAAGTCTCTCACGATCAACGAAACATGTTTCCCTACCCACTCAGAACTAGCATGACTTTCTCCCTACAGTTCGCGTTCGTGCACATCTTCACGAAGGTCGGGTCGGGCGAGGTGTACCTGTCGGGGGTGTGTTCGGGGGCCGACAGCGACGACGACGACGACGACGACGATGACGACCAGGAGCAGGAATTGGATGACCTCGATGTTGAGGTGAGGAGATGGAGGAGGTGGTGATGGGTGATGGCTAAGGGAAGGTGGTGATGGGTTGTTGCTAGGAGAAGGTGGTGATGGGTTGTGGCTAGAAGGTAGTGATGGGTTGTGGCTAGAAGGTAGTGATGGGTTGTGGCTAGAAGGTAGTGATGGGTTGTGGGCTAGAGGGAGGTGGTGATGGGTTGTAGCTAGAGGAAGGTGGTGATGGGTTGTAGCTAGAGGGAGGTGGTGATGGGTTGTGGCTAGAGGAAGGTGGTGATGGGTTGTGGCTAGAGGAAGGTGGTGATGGGTTGTGGCTAGAAGGTAGTGATGGGTTGTGGCTAGAGGAAGGTGGTGATGGGTTGTGGCTAGAGGAAGGTGGTGATGGGTTGTGGCTAGAGGAAGGTGGTGATGGGTTGTGGCTAGAGGAAGGTGGTGATGGGTTGTAGCTAGAGGAAGGTGGTGATGGGTTGTGGGTAGAGGAAGGTTGTGATGGGTTGTGGCTAGAAGGTGGTGATGGGTTGTAGCTAGAGGAAGGTGGTGATGGGTTGTAGCTAGAGGAAGGTGGTGATGGGTTGTGGGTAGAGGAAGGTAGTGATGGGTTGTGGCTAGAAGGTGGTGATGGGTTGTAGCTAGAGGAAGGTGGTGATGGGTTGTGGGTAGAGGAAGGTTGTGATGGGTTGTGGGTAGAGGAAGGTGGTGATGGGTTGTGGCTAGAAGGTAGTGATGGGATATGGCTAGAGGAAGGTGGTGATGGGTAGTGGGTAGAGGAAGGTGGTGATGGGTTGTGGCTAGAAGGTGGTGATGGGTTGTGGCTAGAGGAAGGTGGTGATGGGTTGTGGCTAGAAGGTGGTGATGGGTTGTGGCTAGAGGAAGGTGGTGATGGGTTGTGGGTAGAGGAAGGTAGTGATGGGTTGTGGCTAGAAGGTGGTGATGGGTTGTAGCTAGAGGAAGGTGGTGATGGGTTGTGGGTAGAGGAAGGTTGTGATGGGTTGTGGGTAGAGGAAGGTGGTGATGGGTTGTGGCTAGAAGGTAGTGATGGGATATGGCTAGAGGAAGGTGGTGATGGGTTGTGGGTAGAGGAAGGTGGTGATGGGTTGTGGCTAGAAGGTGGTGATGGGTTGTGGCTAGAGGAAGGTGGTGATGGGTTGTGGCTAGAAGGTGGTGATGGGTTGTGGCTAGAGGAAGGTGGTGATGGGTTGTGGGTAGAGGAAGGTGGTGATGGGTTGTGGCTAGAAGGTAGTGATGGGTTGTGGCTAGAGGAAGGTGGTGATGGGTTGTGGGTAGAGGAAGGTGGTGATGGGTTGTGGCTAGAAGGTAGTGATGGGATATGGCTAGAGGAAGGTGGTGATGGGTTGTGGCTAGAAGGTAGTGATGGGATATGGCTAGAGGAAGGTGGTGATGGGTAGTGGGTAGAGGAAGGTAGTGATGGGTTGTGGCTAGAGGAAGGTGGTGATGGGTTGTGGCTAGAGGAAGGTGGTGATGGGTTGTGGGTAGAGGAAGGTTGTGATGGGTTGTGGCTAGAAGGTGGTGATGGGTTGTAGCTAGAGGAAGGTGGTGATGGGTTGTAGCTAGAGGAAGGTGGTGATGGGTTGTGGGTAGAGGAAGGTAGTGATGGGTTGTGGCTAGAAGGTGGTGATGGGTTGTAGCTAGAGGAAGGTGGTGATGGGTTGTGGCTAGAGGAAGGTGGTGATGGGTTGTGGCTAGAGGAAGGTGGTGATGGGTTGTGGCTAGAAGGTAGTGATGGGTTGTGGCTAGAGGAAGGTGGTGATGGGTAGTGGGTAGAGGAAGGTAGTGATGGGTTGTGGCTAGAGGAAGGTGGTGATGGGTTGTGGCTAGAGGAAGGTGGTGATGGGTTGTGGCTAGAGGAAGGTGGTGATGGGTTGTGGCTAGAAGGTAGTGATGGGTTGTGGCTAGAGGAAGGTAGTGATGGGTTGTGGGTAGAGGAAGGTGGTGATGGGTTGTTGCTAGGAGAAGGTGGCGATGGGTTGTTGCTAGGAGAAGGTGGCGATGGGTTGTTGCTAGGAGAAGGTGGCGATGGGTTGTTGCTAGGAGAAGGTGGCGATGGGTTGTTGCTAGGGTAAGGAGGTGATGGGATGTGGGAAGAAGGAATAAGATGATGGGGATAGGGGTCACCTGAACACCAACCGTTCTTCCCACAATGTAGGCATATGTGAAAATATTCAAAGTTTCCCAATGGGGCATTTAGAAACTCAGAGTAACTCAGTCCTCTGTTATCCCGTGTCTAAACGACTCGGTGCTCTGTGGGCCCCGTATTCATATGGTGTAGTTCCCCCTGGACCTGCATCCATTGCAGTCATAATGCTATTCTTATTTAAATACATAATTCTGACTGCTCCTTAATATTCCCTGGTAGATCTCTGCACTTTCCATGGGATGGAACGTTATCCAAATATGTGTAAAAAATCTAATATAACAAAGCATCAGTGTTGGACTTCAGGCATTGTTAGAGCTCGTTTTTTATAAAAACAAATTGTGTAGAAAGAATGTTGCTGCTTTAGAGTGTACTCTGATTTATTTACCATTCAGTATATTTATCAGAATTACCTGAGAGTCATCGTCTCTATTGGCCTCTACGGACGGTGAATAGAGGATTGTTTCCAGCTTATAATTAAACTGGAATACTGTCTGGCAAGGTATGCTTCAGTGGTAGGAGATCCCGTGAGTTCATTATCTTGACTTACCTGAGGACCACCACTTGAATTTATATTTGCCTATATTTGACCTAATGATTTTATCCTACCGGATTCTGAACTGAAAGGGTGTTTTGGCATTTACGACTTCGACGGGTAAGCAGTTCCACGGGTTAATAATGCTATGGGTGAAATATTGTGGCAAGTTGAGCTTGAAGCTGTTGCCCCTTGTTCGTGTTACATCTAACCTTTTGAAGAGGTTATTGTGATTAATGTATTCCAAACTGTTCAGTATTCCAAATGTTTTGATGAGATCAGCCCCTTCATGTCTAGTTTGAAGTGTTGTTAATCCTGTGGCCTTCAACCGTTACTGGCATGAGAGTCACATTAGTTGTTGGAAGATTTTTGTCGCCAGTGCTGAACTTCCTCCTAAGCAGATACATCCGTCTGAAGATGGTCTTTCATGTTTGGATACAGTTATCCAAATATGTATGAAAGGTTTGTACAGTAAGATAACTACCTTCTTCTCCTTAAAGTCATAGGGTTGTTTGGCTATTCCTAGAGTTTGGTTGGCTCTTTTTATTTTTACTGCAGCTCCCACTCGTTGTTCAATTTCAAATGACTGGTAGATTCTGAATCAGAGATCGTATACTTCATCAATCTGATGCAAGGTAATGATGTAAATTTGGTAGCTGTGATGTGCATTGCTATGCTTCACATGAAACACTTACCACATTTCTCCATTCAGATTCATTCCCATCTTGCACAACTCTGCGTTTTTTTACTAATTTACTATTAATCATTATAATAATCAACCATTAATTCCTTATGCTTGCAATTTCGTTCTCAGTCTTTTATAAGGTACGTTATCAAAAGCCTTAGAGAAGTCCATGTATTCTTCATCAGCTGGCAGTCCTTTCTCTGAATAGGTGGTTACCGTTTTTAAAAATGTATACAGGCAAAATTTATTTTCAACAAAACCATGTTGCATTGTTTTTACTAAATTGTTCATTATGAGATGATGAATGATTCCCTCCTTTACGATTCTCTCCGTGAGTTTACAGATGTGTGTTGTCAAGCTGAACGGACGGTAGTTTTCTGCTGAGCTCTTTCTGCCCTCTTTTAAAATAGGTGTGACAGCCCATTGATGGTGAGGATTTTTTCAGCTAAAGTTTAAATTAAAATAGTTAATGTCTTGGTATTTACGGCTTCAGCGGGTAGGTTGTTCCATGGGTTTATAAACCTATTGGCGAAAAATCACCTCCTGTTTTCTACTGTACATACTGTGGTTTCTTGAGCTTAAAGTTGTTACTGTTTCATGCGCTACATTTGACCTAACAAAGAAGGGGTTTGGATTAAAATCCTCCAATTTGTTCAAGTATTTTATAGGTCATGGTGATCTGCACAGCCCTCTCCGGTTTGAAGTGTTGTTGCTCCGGTGGTCCTCAATTGCTCCTGGATTTGATTTTGATTTTTTTCATTTATTATACACTCCAAAATCATATATTTTTCATATTTATCTCATGGGCAGTAATGGACCCAATACCCATCCCGTAGGCAGTAGTTGGCCCCATACCCATCCCGTGGGCGGTAGTGGGCACATACCCATCCCATAAAATATCAATATATTTTATCTTGAAATGAACTCATTGTATTATGCAATACGACCAAAATAAGTGGTGGGTGAGTCACGGGAAGTTTTGGGTAAGTCTACGGAGCGGTTTGTGACAGTCAAGTAACAAGTTGGTGACTACACTCCCCACAGCCTGTGGTGGCCTGCACGGCCATGTCCCTGGCGGTGAGGGACAGGCTTCTGACCCCCACAGGATCCAACGGTGTGGGGAGCCGCCTCACCACGTCTCATTCCCTCCCCCACACTCCACCCTGGTCACCAGCCTTGGCTTCAACACCTGCTCATTCTGCCACACCGAACTGGTCTCGCTGGCCGCCCAGGGCACCCTTCCTGCCAGCCAGGACCTCCCTCTTCTCTAGGCTGACGGGGCTCTGGCGACGCAGCGGACCAAGAGCCCCACACCCCACATCTCTCCACACCCTCACACCTTCCACAGTAAGTTATAGGGACACGACCCGGGGATATATGCTGCATTATACTCATCAATAATGTGGTATATTTTTACTAAGGTCTTTTATGATCATGAAGTTCGGAAAGTCTTCTGTTGTGTCTCAACCGTAAATTGTCCCTTAGTAGTAGTGATGAGACTCTTCGGCTTGCTCTGATTGTCTGCCACTACTTTGATTCAATAATTAGAGGAGTCATCAGTTCTTTTCTTTGCTCATTATCAGACTAAGATATTATACGAGTGAGCAATAAAGTGGTTACAATACAATAGGTGTGTGCATCAACCTGTAGAGGATTATGAAGACTACCACATGAATTAACGATAAACCACCAAGTATACTTTAGGCCGAAAGCAGTCCAGATCTAAATAAACTCTGTTAATATGCACTTGGATAAGTGACTCTCATCTGGAACTAGAGAGCTAGACTAACTCCCCACACCTTCCCCTTCGGTTTCAGCAGGCCTATGCCGGGGACCAGTACATGGAGCAGCACCGGCAACAACAGCACCAGTACAAGCAGCAGCACCTGCAGCACCAGTACAAGCAGCAGCACCTGCAGCACCAGTACAAGCAGCAGCACCACCAGGAGCAGCAGCCTCATCAGCGAGGCAGGCGAGAGGTGACCAAGATGAAGCCAACCAGTCCCAAAGTGGATCAGATGAACTCCGTATCCAACATCGACGAGGCGTCTCGAGTTTTGTTCCCCTTGTCGTTCCTGTGTATTAACTTAGTGTATTGGTACACCTACCTCTCCCACTCTAGCTAGACTCTACACTTTCCCCGTGTAACTAGCGCAACCTGCCTGTGTATCAGCCTGGTACACAAACTTTACCAAGGCTATACCCTACTTATGAATAAATCTGATCCATTGATCAGATTGTAGAAGATTTTCTACATATAATTCACCTACTAATGTTCATTGTTGCCACAACGCCAGCAGACTACACGGCTTAGTGAGAGCTATCTGACATCCGTCGTGTATATTGCTAACTTGGCTCAGCTTTGGGGAGCGGTCAGTGATGCCATCTTTGCAAGACATACAATGCCTTGTGTGTAAACACCAGCTACATGGATGTGTCGTACTGTCAGGTTCCTGCATAGGTAAACATAATGATTGTTTACTTCGCGAATTGTCTGTAGAGTTTTGTGTTGGATGAACCTATGGGCAAAGTCCCAATACATATATATATATATATATATATATATATATATATATATATATATATATATATATATATATATATATATATATATATATATATATATATATATATATATATATATGTCGTACCTAGTAGCCAGAATGCACTTCTCGGCCTACTATGCAAGGCCCGATTTGCCTAATAAGCAAAGTTTTCCTGAATTAATATATTTTTTCTAATTTTTTTCTAATGAAATGATAAAGCTACCGATTTCATTATGCATGAGGTCAATTTTTTTTTATTGGAGTTAAAATTAATGTAGATATATGACCGAACCTAACCAACCCTACCTAACCTAACCTAACCTATCTTTATAGGTTAGGTTAGGTTATGTATCCGAAAAAGTTAGGTTAGGTTAGGTTAGGTAGGTTAGGTAGTTGAAAAACCATTAATTCATGACAACTTGACTTATTAGGCAAATCGGGCCTTGCATAGTAGGCCGAGAAAAGCGTTCTGGCTACTAGGTACGACATATATATATATATATATATATATATATATATATATATATATATATATATATATATATATATATATATATATATATATATATATATATATATATATATATATATATATATATATATATATATATATATATATATATATATATATACATATATATATATATATATGTCGTACCTAGTAGCCAGAACGCACTTCTCAGCCTACTATGCAAGGCCCGATTTGCCTAATAAGCCAAGTTTTCATGAATTAATTGTTTTTCGACTACCTAACCTACCTAACCTAACCTAACCTAACTTTTTTGGCTACCTAACCTAACCTAACCTATAAAGATAGGTTAGGTTAGGTTAGGTAGGGTTGGTTAGGTTCGGTCATATATCTACGTTAATTTTAACTCCAATAAAAAAAAATTGACCTCATACATAATGAAATGGGTAGCTTTATGATTTCATAAGAAAAAAATTAGAGAAATTATATTAATTCAGGAAAACTTGGCTTATTAGGCAAATCGGGCCTTGCATAGTAGGCCTAGAAGTGCGTTCTGGCTACTAGGTACGACATATATATATATATATATATATATATATATATATATATATATATATATATATATATATATATATATATATATATATATATATATATATATATATATATATATATATATTCCAAGCCTTCTGGAGTATCCACTTAATTCCCATTCATTTTTCATTGTACCTCACCTAACTTAACCTCTTTCTCCTGCCTATATATATCCAATACTTGACCTGTAAATCATTCCTTTTGAAGATGTATTAATATACGAAAGTACTAAAGGAAATTCCTGTTTCAATTCTTCCTCCGTGGTCTGACACTGTCACATTTTTCATCACGTGTTAATTTTCGTGATTTACACACGTACATATGTATATATATAAAGAGGTTTTTGCCAAGTATGCAACAAAAACACCGCCATAAACTCTAACGGTGGTGTTATCCTCTTTCACACCATCAATGAGGTAAGATGCAGTGGTTCCCACCAGCTTCCAAAGGGAAGCAATGGCCAGTTGCCATTAACAGTTAGGGAAGAGACTCCCATTAACCTAATCTCATCTGAAAACCCTCACCCAAGCGATCATGGCGACGTCTGCTAGAACATTACCACACATCCCAAAAGCAGCCCGCCCAAATGCAGCAGCCAAACTCTGTAATCTTCTGAAAAGGGTCAATGATGCCCCGGAAAACATTCAAGCATGGCATAATGTCCTTTTGTTTGGCAATGTATGCCTCACCGTTCCTCCAAGGAGGGACAAATCACTTGCATCCTCGGTCCTGAGGGCGATAAATGAATACCCAAGGAGGGATAACCTAGTTCGCCTGCCTCTTCAAGCAAAACACACCCACTGCAGAAATGGTAACAACAACATACAGGAAACGTACAAAATCAGAGCACAAATCACCAAGAAAATTGAAGAAGGAAATACCGCAAGTGCTATTAGAGTCCTCACCAGTGACGAGAAAATTGCTCCTCGAAACTCAGCCACAGCATGGGCCCTACAAAGCAAACACCCACCCAGAGCCCTACAAGGCGACAACATCGTTCCGCTCCCAGCCGACACCATTTCAGACCCATTAACTGTTGGTGAACCTGAGGTCAACAAAGTCGCCCTTTTTTCACCTGGGTCAGCAGGCGGCTTTACAGGATTAAAACCTCAAGACATCAAGCAAATGTTAAATCCTGCAGTTGGCGATGCTGCACAAGATCTTCTTATGGAACTCACAAGGTTCGTCAACACGTGCCTATCTGGGGATATACCTGAGGTCATCAGGCCCCTCTTTTTGGTGCCTCCCTCTGTGCTCTCAAAAAAGAAGAACGAGGGAATCAGGCCAATCGCTGTCGGCAACACTCTCCGACGCCTGGATGCCAAGGCTGCTACGAGGGTCGTCAGCCAGCAAGCGGCTGAATTGCTGAAACCAATCCAGCTAGGATTTGGAATCCCCCAAGGCTGTGAAGCGGCTGCCCATGCAGCACGAGCATACATCACCAACATTTCTGATGAAAAGGCCCTGCTCAAACTGGACTTTAAGAGTGCCTTCAACATGGTCAGAAGAGATGCAGTACTTTGTGCCGTACATCGCCATTTCCGGCCCCTCTACCCGTTCATACTATCGTGTTACAGTGGTGAGTCAAAACTGCTCTTTGGTGAACACGAAATCAGATCATGTGAAGGTGTTCAACAAGGTGATTCTCTTGCTCCCCTTCTTTTCTGCTTAGTCTTAAAAGAAGTCACTGAAAGCTTGTCCAGCGAGTTCAACATCTGGTTTTTGGATAATGGCACTATAGCTGGCACCATAGACCACCTCTTGCAAGATATCAGGAAAATAAGGGAGCAAGAAGTAAGCCTGGGTCTCTTCCTGAACCCTTCCAAGTGTGAAGTAGTCTCCTCCAAACCAGACATCGTTGCTAGAATAAGGTCTGCCTTGCCTGGAGCCCATGTCATTAGGGTCGAGAACAGCACCCTCCTTGGAGCCCCCCTCGGGTCTAACGCTATTGAGGAGATCCTTGTCAAGGAAATCTCAGACCTCAGGAGGATAGAAGACAGAATAGGTGACATCGATGCTCACGATGCTTTATATCTCCTCACTAAGTGCCTATCCCTTCCGAGGCTGACCTACTTTCTGAGGTGGGTCCCATCTTACGACAGCCGAAAGCTTGAAGAGCTTTCTGAAAACCTCTTACTGAAGACCATGCTAGAAAAAGTTGTTAACCTCTCCCTCAACGAAAGCCAGTCGAAACAAGCCACTTTTCCTGTCCGGCTTGGTGGCTTGGGTGTCCGCACCGCCACCCAAATTGCTGTCCAAGCCTTCCTGTCTTCCTCCTCAGCATCTGATGACCTGGTTAAGGAAATTCTGCCTGACACACTGAGTGATGTAGCGGGGATACAAGACCCCCACTACACGTAATGCGACACGAAATGGGGTGCCATGGCAGACCCAGCACTCAGATCAGCCATGCCGAAACCAAGAAACAATCTAGCTGGGACAGCCTCATTGTAGACAAAGAAGTCACAACTTTGCTGGGGGCAGCAACAACTCCCAGTGATCGTGCACGCCTCACAGCTGTGCAGCCCCCCCCCCCCCCCCCATGCAGGGGAATTCTTTTTGGCAGTCCCTATGTCTGCAACAGGCACACGTCTTGATCCACAGGAGCTCCGTATTGCAGTCGCTCTCCGCCTTGCTGCCCCTATCCACAATGTTCATAGGTGTATTTGCGGCGAGGCAAATGCTGACGAATATAGATTGCATGGCCTGCACTGTGGAAAATCTGGTGGTTGGCACACTAGACACGACGAAGTCAATGACATCATTAAAAGAAGCCTTGCCTCTGCTCAGTGTCAAGCGGAGAGAGAGCCCCGCAACCTATTGAACCGAGACTCTGTTAGCCTTGCCGGCCGACCAGACGGAATCACACTGCACCCGTGGAAGGGTGGCAGACAGTTGGCGTGGGACTATACTTGCGTATCCACCCTGGCAACCACATACATCAACATCTCTTCCGGCCAAGCAGGAGCCGCGGCGACACACAGAGAAAGAGTCAGCCAAGTAAAGGGAACTAGATCATCAGTACAACTTCGTTCGAATAGGGTCTGAGACCCTAGGCCCATGGGGAGAGAGTGCAAGAGGGTTTCTTGAGAATCTCATTTCCAAGCTCATTGATACTACAAGAGACCCTAGAGCGGCAATTTCCTCTTTCAGTGCCTCAGTGTCGCGATCCGGAGGGGAAATGCCCGCTGCGTCCTCGGTTCCTGCCCGGCGTCGGGAGAGTTCGAGAAAATCTACAGCCTCTAGGAAGCGAACTTTTTCTTGTCTTCTCTCAATGTTCATTTTCTGTATAAAATCAGATATGTAACTGTATAACCTTGCATAATAAAGAGTACACCAATAAAAAGAAGGGGATGGTATGAGAAGCGAACACTCATACGTATTCAGAGTTAAATGGCAAGTTTTTCTCAGAATGGTCTGTGTTCCTCCAACAAGGCTGTGGGTCCCTATAATTCATTGCACCATAGGTGGTACCCCTATATATATATATATATATATATATATATATATATATATATATATATATATATATATATATATATATATATATATATATATATATATATGTATGTATGTATATATATATATATATATATATATATATATATATATATATATATATATATATATATATATATATATATATATGTATATGTATATATATATACATTATTAAATATGACCGAAAAAGTAAGATTAATAATTCTAACACGAATTTTCTCAATCTTTCGTACATTACGCTTCACTGTTGGAGGTAAATCAAAAATCACTTCTCCAAAATTCATTTTTATTTCTAGTCTGTCTGACGCGACACGGGCGCGTTTCGTAAAACTTATTACATTTTCAA